CTACTGTTATGAATCTGGCGACCCCTGTGAAACAGTTGTTCAACCCCCAAAGGGGTCGCCACCCACAGATTGAGAACCACTGCTTGAGAGTGTTTTCCTATTTATTTCAGTTATACACAAAGATATATACATAAAGATGTACTACTTTTCTTACTGTATCCTCAATGCCAGATGCAGTAAAAATATCATGGAAGCACGACTAGACAATTGTTTTAGAGAATGAATGATTTAGAGTATAAGAGATGCTGAAGACGATTTATGCCTGGTTCTGTGTCACATCCACTCTATGTCAGACACAGGCTCTTTGAAAGACAGCAAAGCCCCCCCAGACTCTGTGGCTGTTTTGAGCAGGGTCTAGTTCCTATTGTTATTTATTGTGATTATAAGGTAGTGTAGCACTGCTATTGGTTAGGCACGGGGGTGATAACCACAAGGTTGGGGTTCAAGCCCACCAGTTGCCCTGCAAGATGAAGCTGTCTATTCTTATAAAGATTCAGAAACCCTAATAGGGTCGCTATGACTCCATGTATGGTAGTTACATAATCTCATGTCAACTTAAGGGTATTAAGAGTGAAGGGGTGGAGAGTCTAGCCTGTCAATCAGGTAACAGCCTGATGATGCCTTCTTGTGGGCTTTGCGGGCTTGGCCTTCTCATGAGAATTCTGGGAACTTTCTCCCTCTCTACGTTGGCCTTCCTGTGGACAAGCTATGTGGAGCTACACTGAGACCTGAGCAAGCCATGTGGCAGAGACCTGCGGAGACAGCCCTGTGATGGTTCCACCAACAATGGATCCACAAGACTTTTCACCCACCAGCCTGTGACATTCCTGCATTCTGTGTCATTCGATGTGCTGTGTGCGTCTGGAGAAGCATTTTTGGACTAGTATTGAACTTATGGGCTAATATTGGAGTTATGGACTTGATCTATACTAGGCTGGGGCGTTTTCTTAATGTACAATTGCTGTCTGATATAAAGCTCTCTTGTACACATACATGAGTGTTTCTGAATTTGTTTCTCTAGTCAACCTGGTCTAACACAGTGGGTTTGGTTTCTGGTTTGAAGGAACTCTGGTGGCCTGCAAATCACGTCAGCAGTTTGAAATCATGATCCACTTCATGGAAGAATGATGGGGCTCTCTACTCCTCTACAAAGTTACAATCTCAGAAACTCACAGGGGAAATTCTACCCTGTCCTACAGGGTCACAATGAGTCAGCATCAACTCAATGGCAGTGAGCTTGTTTTTTTTTTTGTTTCTACTACAGGCTGCAAATACACAAAGAAATTCTTCAGGGTGACTGCTCAAGAAACCCCCTTCC